GAAAGTGATAAAATCACTTTCGAAAAAACGCTTCGATGCAAATCGGTAGTTAGTATTTTCAAGCCAGTACAGTCCAAACCAAGCACAGTATAAACCAGCAAAGTTAGAAAGTTTTAAATGAAGGTTCTGTATTTACAAATGAGCATCAAAGCGTTTATTTGAAAGCGATTTTATTCAATTTTATCACTTTTATTTATAATAATTCTTGTAGACCTGTGACCACTCCGTTTTCTCATTGCTTTGATTACATTATGCCAATACTCTACTGTACTAGTCCTCTCGGATAAAATCGCTTTCAAATAAACGCTTTGATGCTCATTTGTAAACACAGAACCTTCATTTAAAACTTTATAACTTTGCTGGTTTATACTGTGCTTGGTTTGGACTGTACTGGCTTGAAAATACTAACTACCGATTTGCATCGAAGCGTTTTTTCGAAAGTGATTTTATCACTTTCAGATTTAAAAATTCCTGTAAACCTGTGACCTCCCCGTCACCACTATGCCCCGACCCAACTATGCTCCGTCCCACTATGCCCCGACCCCGCTGTACTGGTTTTTTTTTTTTTTTCATTTATATACCTACTGAATGTTATTCAATAATAACTTAACTTTAAATTTGATTTAAAATAAAATAGAGAAATCAATATTGTCTATGAGGTGTATGTCGCCTTGTGATCCCTAATTTACGCCATTGATTATTGCCAGATAATGCTCTGAAACTCTTCATTGCACGCGTACATGCCAAGGTGTTTCTAATAAGACATTAAACAACAAAATCCGTTCATCGGTTTAGAATAGTGATCTATAAGTGGAAAGAAGAATATCTAAAATTGACAAATTTGTTTTATTGTAAACATTTTTATTCATTTAAATTCATATTTTGTATCTTTTTGACAAGCTTTTTCAAATTGTTATTTTTAAATGGTTTCAATGCACATTTTTGCCTTCACAATGTATTTATCGATATTTAGTATTCCTACCATCAGTGCGTTTATTTGAAATATATTTTATTACTTTCAGTGATCTTATATTATAATTTCTGGAAATCATGTTTTCTCTATATCATAATACTTTTTCCCAACTGTATATAGCGTACACCTAATAATTTATATTCAGCGCTCTGTGTTGGTTTTTTACACACGAGTACACCAAGTTTTCTAATAACATGTTTTTTTGGGTCACAAAAAACCGCTTTACGCTTACAGGTGGAATCAATCATTTTTCGAAACAACTAAACGGCGTAACGCCATATTAAAATGTACAGGGTGATCAATTTAACGCCTAGCACTCAATATCTCTTAAGAAAATTTCAATTTTTTAGTCTTCTCTTTTTAAAATAGATGTTGTTTATGTTATCTAAAACATTATGAAATTACTAAATATTTAACTTTTTTGGGATTATCCTAAGGTCTATCGACCTTTGACACTTAAACCCTAAATAGAATCAACTATGTCGCCAGAAAGATTAAATAGCTTAGCCATATTAAGAATAGAGTAATCTGTAACCAAAACAATTATTAATTACGATGATATTAAATCATTTCCTTCAAACCATTTTCGCAGACAATTTTAGAAAAACCCAGAAAGAAGCTAATATTTTTTTAAAGTTTTAAATTTTTGAATACTTTTATGTTAATATTGTTAAATTTTTCTGAATTGTTATAAATAATATTATATTGGCTATGTGTGAGTTATCTAAATATTAATATATATATAAACTAAGAATGTATATATAAAAAGTAAGAAGTCCTGCCTGATTCATAATCAACGCACAGTCTACTATGATAGCTATCGACTGGAAATGTCCAGGGTATGTTTGTATTATAGTCTTGGTGTGCAATAAGAAAGGATTCTGAATTATTTTTATTTTAAGGGATTGAAATAGACAAAAAATAAAATTTAAGTACCTAGCTGAATGTATTTTATATTTATGTAACTATGTACCTACTAGTTAAAAATTTAATTTATAAAATAATATATTTAGAGTGGTTTAAATCTCTCTAAGTATTTGTTCACATCTAAATGTTTTTTTTTAAATGTTCATTTTTTTATTTTTAATGAACTTCTCCAAAAAACTGCTGTAAACCGCTTTTCTGAATTAAATACTAGCTACGCCTGTTTTTTAATGCTTGTAAGCAAGAGATAGAAACATCTCCATTCCCATCGGTTCATTAAAAACTTAACTAAATTGAATTAACTAAAAAACTAAAACTGAACAAATCTTTTTAAAATTAATACATTTTTTATTTTTGATAAAATATTTACTATAGGTAAATTAGTTAGCTATTTAGAAGAAAAAAAAGAATGCAAAACAGTCAATGAATAACATAAATAAGGAATCTCAAAGTTGAGACACCAAATAAGATAAAAAAACATTAATTTTAGTAGTTCTTGAGCCAGTTTTGGGCCAGTTTCTTTTAAGTCGTCTTAGATGCCGGAATGGAGTGAAACAATTTGATCGTACCAAAAGACCCTTTGTGATTATTCAGAGGCATATTAATTGTTTTGGTGTTTGAAGGTTTTGCCGATCACCAGATAATAACACCATAAGTTCATATTGGGTTCAAAAGGGTAGTGTAAAGGAGCTTGTTTTTTATTGGTATTTTTTTAGTTTAGAAGAGGTCGAAGCATATCTAGTCGATAGTTGAGTGCTTTGCGTTGTTCTTTTATATGTGGTGACCCGGTTAGGATCTTGTTCAATATTAAGCCTAAATATTTTATTTGAGAGTATCAGGGAATGGGAGTTTCATTTAAAGACACAGTGTGACGCGAGCTGATTTTGTATCGTTTAGTATTATTTTACAACTTTTAGCCAGGTTTCTAGTGAGTCCAGGTATATATGTATATTATATTGTATATGTAGTGAGAGAGCGAGAGTTGTGGAAAAACATATTCTGGCTGGCCACAACCACATTGGTATTGGGTTGGCGTAAATAAGATTTATTGCGATAAAAAATATGTACCTTCCCACTTTTATAAAATAAAAATAATAGATATGTTATTTGTATAATTTTATGAGGGTTTTAATATTTACCGACTTTTTGTTCAATCTAAATATACCGACTGACTTGATTTTAACGAGTAGGGGGGGGGGGGGTGTCAACTCCTCCCCCCCCCCGAACTCCAGCCCTGCAGAGAGCAGTCAAGTCACCTAATTATGATAGCGTCTCCAAGATATTAAACTAGTTACTCGCACTCTCCTTAATTTAAAAACTGTGCAGCTTGTTAACTACTGAATCAATTTAGCTAGTTTAACGCCTAAAATTAAATTTAAAAAAAAAATACGATCATCAAAAAAAAATTGGGGGTTACCATTCAAAATCCAAAGTGGATATAGTTTTAACGCATAAGGGATGGTGTTAAAATTTTAAAAAATATATAACATTTGTCCCAACTAATAATTAGGTACTATAAAAGTATAAAAAAAATATATATATATCGTCTAAGATATTGAGTGGTCCGTAGTTAACCAATCAACCGGTACAACAAATAAATATACATTTTCTCTTATGATGAAACCACTTATTTAACAACATAAAGACAAATCGTCATTTAAAAAAAATTACCTTGATTTTATAATTTAATTTAATTTAGTTTTGTTTTAAAAAGGAAAATACATAGAGTATAAAGAATATATAATAATCAAATATTGTGAGTAAAAATATTTAATTTATAATTATATAAAATATTATTTTATACATATTTACTGACATAATTAAGTTCTTAGTGTTCATCGTCAAATTAGGAAGGGGGGGATGCTTACATTAAGAGTGAACAAGAGTAGTACAAAATAAAAATTAGACGTCAGAGATCATAATATAATATAATAATATAGTAAGGTAATATTCAAATTGACTACAGAAATTCTGCAACAACAAAGTAGGTAGGTACCTAATGTAATATAAATATTGCTGAGAGGAATTCGACAAAGAGAGTTTAGAAATCACATTTCGGCGGGTAGGGTAGGTTAGGGCTGTGGGAGAAATTGACCTTGAAGGACAGCCGCCAGTCGCATTTCAAACGTTTTCTACTAGGGATCTTATTTGTCAACCGTTTATTTGGGTTCAGTATTCCAATTTCTGTTGAATCGTAGTATCCCCCACCAATGCACCTGTTGTCCTACCGGCCGGCAACAAGTGGCTGGTAGCATTAGACACGAGGATAAGGACATATGGGACGTGTCACTCGCCGGTCGCGTAGCATACGTTAGTTTTTTTTTTTGTATTTACATGCGATTGTTCTGTTATAATATATCAAACCGTATAAATCTACCGGGCACATTTTTTGTTCAGTACATTTTTTTGTACACGCTTCATCGAGAAACACACAACGTTTGAATTTTCGACGTACGGATACATTGCCATTGCTTATAATTTCAAGTGAGATTTTGTCGTTTTTCATTTATACGGTTTTGGATAGGTTTGTTTTAGATGAAAATAATAATTTAAGGTTATACGTAAATGTACTACACAGTCCATTTTGATAAAACATCTTTTATAGTTTATACAAAATTACATACAAATATAATGCATAAAAAACACCTATTAAACGCGATTAATCAGATCACCAAAATAACGTCAAATGACGTAGGAATCACCGACTAGAATATTGTATCAAATGTGGACACCCAAAAAGAATAACATTATAAGCAAACTATAATCAAGTTGATGAATGCCTAAACCGTCAGCCCCTTAAGTAATACAAAAGTAATTTTTATTTGTTATTATAATATTAAATTATACTAATTTTACAAGTCAGCGAAAGGTGTTTCCATACCGAATAAAGACAAAGGTAAACGCATTAATACACGTGATAGGATGTAGATGATGGTAAATTTACAATAAGCTTTGAAACTGGAGTTAGGAATTTGATATGTTATTCTCATAAAACGCGCGACAGTTTACCTCCATGCTGCGGTGTACCTCCACCTGTGCCAATCACTCGTTATCACACATACACACACTATCACAAATCTGTCCAGACAATTTTTGCGTGTTGTAAATAAAAGTTTTGTGTTTGTTAATAATTGAGATTTCATTTTTACTCTCTCCTTTCTGTGAATTATAACTAGTTAAACTCGATTTAGCGCCATAGTAACAGTTTGTTTTCATTGTTGTTGCTACGGATCCGATTCGTAAAAATATCTTGATTTCAATCATAATAACTTAGTTTAATTCTATGATAAATACCTAACGTATTGCGTCGTGTTTCGTTATTGAGTTACAATTAAGTTTTGTCTTGCCTGTAATTAATTTTTTATACATTTTAAGAAGCAGCCCTGAACAGCGGTTTACGGTTCTACGTTGTGTGAGTACCTACTGTTTTGTATTTCTAATTTATTTACGTTATTGCCGTGTTTTCTGTCTTTCATTGACTTAGAATACTGCTTGTTAATAAATAGAATTATGATCTATAGGTGTTTGTTTATAACTTATTATTTATTCGGAGTTGAATCGAGTAATGCGAGATCAACGCCACTTTAAAATTATCTAATCGACAAAATGGTCTAGCTTTAATCTTTATCGTGTTATCTTCTTACCAACAAGTCATCCTTGTAGTTTTGTATTATTTATCTAATTTAAGTAAATTACAATTTTGTTTTAAATGTTAAAAAAAAAATATACCACTTAAAATTTTGTTGGTTTTTTATTATTCAAATAATGTAATTAGTTTCTTGCATAGCATATTAATCACTGTGACCATTAAACGACCATGTCAAACAATTTCATCAGCTTATTTATTATTTTTTTAATATCAAACATGATTTTTTTTTTCTTCAAAAAGCATTTGAGATACACTTATTTAAAATTAGGCAACTTAATGTGTTTGATTATAAACTTATTTTTTTACCTTGTCTTTTTAATAGACAATTAATTGTATTTTGTACCTTTTATATGTTTTAGATAAGCTTACATTACAATTAGTTAACAATCAAACACATAAAAGGTACATTTATAATCTATATTGTAATACAAGAAAAACAATTATGGAAGTTATTATGCAAGAACACTTCGAAAAAATGTATCAATTCTATGAGTAAGTCAATAATAATCAAATAATTGATAATTTTTTTACAAGTATTATTTGTTACCGATTAATGTTTGTATTTTTATTGTGCCCTTTTAAATAATATAGCGGAGTACACCCCAGGGGTGTACCATACTTTTTGTCTCTACCTAAATAGTACCTTTTGTACTATTTAAACTCTTAGAGTTTAGTATGAAATTTAATTTTTAATATTTTTATTGTTTGTTACTGGGGATTGACCGGTACTCGATGTTCCGATATATGTTGCCGATAAAAAACTGATTCCCAATATATTAAAAAATTAAAAATCTTTTGCAAAAACCACGAACTGATATCAAAACCAAACCGATACCAGACAAAACCAATATTTCATATAACCTACCATTGATTATTATGGTCTTAATATCGATTTCCAAAAAAAAACCAGTACCAATAAAACCGATACAACTAATTTCGACTAGGTTCCGGTTCTAGTATGGCTTACCCCTAGTTTTTATACAATATGATCAAAATATTTTAAATTATATTTGTTTTTACCTACCTCTCGACTTAAATTTTTTTTTTAACTCCTTTTTAAACTTAAATAGTAACGCATACATTTCATTAACTTTTTTAATTTAGAATAATGTATTAAACATTTTGACTGGTCGATAACCAGTTTAGGATAACTATTTTTCAAGTTATAAGAGTTTAGAAGTTAGGGTGGGAGGGGTTAGGTTAGGTTAGGAAATACTCACAGATAAAATTAATACTTCACCCACCTTTCCTCATGCTCCGAACTTGAAACTTCAATAATTTCACAAATGGTTTTATAAAACTGGTTGTCGACTGGTCAACATTTTTAATACATTATTCTCAATTTAAAAAGGTAATTCTTTAAAAAGAAAAGTTTTTATTCCATTATTTGTGTTGCATATTTTGATATTGCTTTTCAGAAAAGGTTTTTTAATATTTAATCATTCATTTGGATGAGTTTCGGATATATTAACGTCAATAGGCCGACAATTTGGACTCTTTGCAGAGTCCATTTTCAGGACGATAACGGTCTCGACTGGTCAGCTGCCGTGACCATACCTCGTCCTATAACTATTGACGTGGATCTATCCAAAACTCATCCGAATGAAATATCAATCCACGAAAGCTTTGGTGCATTTAAATCTTTTAGTTATTTATAACTAATTTTTTTTTAACTACTATTAAAAATAAATACACTAATATGGATACATTTTTTCTAGGGACAAAGAGTTTTGTGATGTAACCTTGGTTACCGATGAAGGCTTAAAAATAGAAGCACACAGAAATATACTGGCTTCTGCGAGTAATGTATTTTATACGATGTTCAGCGGTCAGTTTAAAGAAAGAAACGAAAATGAGATTCTTATAAAAGAAATAGATTCTGAAATTTTAGAATTGGTGTTGAAATTTGCATATACTTGTAAACTGGATATTAAAGAAAATAATTGTGAAGTAGGAAATACGCAATAGGATATATAATTTATAAAATATTACACTATTTTTATTTACTTGTTATTATATTTTGTAGAAACTGTTGATGGCTGCTAATATGTATGGTCTAAATCATATAAAAGAGTTATGTTTTAAATATATTAAAGAAAACATAAATCCTACAAATTGTGTGTGTTTTATGAAAAATTCCAAATTAATATCAGATGAAAAGATTTACAATTTTTGTTGGTCTTATTTTTTAAACCATTTCACGTGAGTAATCAGGTACGACATATGTTCGCAACAATTTTTTAAATAATAAACTAATAAAACAAAGATTTTTTTTAGTACAATTGTGAATTTGGACCAAGCACTAGAAACACTTTATGACTTTGAGTTTGATGATGTTGTCGAGTTTATTGCACGTGATGATTTAGTAATAGATTCTGAAGAAAAGGTATAATTATTGTGACTTAAGAAGAAATTAAAAGTTATTTATTATAATGTTGGTTCTATTAAAGTTATTTAATAATAATTTAAGAGTTTATTTTAGATATTTGATTTTATCATTGGTTGGATACGCTATAACACAGATGACCGTAATGACTTGTTACCGGTTCTTATGAAATATTTACGTTTGGCTTTAATTTCAAAAGAAGGACTACAAAAGATTTATAATGAACCATTAGTGAGAAATAATAATGATGGTAAGCATATATTGTTGATATTATAATCGGGGCAGGATTCAATCTAAATTGTGCCCTTTATTTTTACATACAAATGCGCCTATAGGTGAAATATACTATTGATGTCTCTTTTAAATAAATATTATTATTGTTATGGTTTTTAGTTATGAGAGGCATGTTAGAAACAATTATTACTCACGACTGTTTAAAACCATCATATACTCAAGGAAGATCTACTCAAATTGAATCATCAAATGTAAGTAGACATTTTAAAACTAGGTTTTTACATTGTATAGGTTCACAATAATTGTAATAGTTATGTGCTTGTATTACCTGACATTTGTAAATATGTGTATTCAGATTATTTTTGCAATCACTGGTCATTCAAACAGTGCCGGTTCCTATGTAAAGTATATGGATATTAGCAACGTTAATGACTTAAATTGGAAATCAAGCGATCATTTATTTTTTTTGCCTCCCCGTAAAGGCTCAAAGATGGTAGTCTCTGATAATGGGATAATACTTGCGATTGATGGTTCTAATGACTCTGGTGTTAATGTAAATCTTGTAGACGAGCTTGATCTTAAGTTAAAATCAAAACAATGGGTTTCTACATGGCCAATGAATCGATCGCGAAAAAATTTTGCTGTTTGTACTTACAAGCAGTACATATATGTCGTATGTATTAATTTTACTGTAGTTAACATTACAAATACACATTGTATATAAGAATATATTGAATGCATATTATATTCAAACAAAATTTTCTTTTTTTCATGATATAGGTTGGAGGCTATGATTTATCAAATAGTAATCGTTTGAATTCTGTAGAATACTATGATATAATTTCAAAAGTATGGATCGAAATTACTGAGCCAATGTCTACTGCTCGATCCTCGTGCAGTGCTGCAGTATTTAATAATAAATTATATGTTGTAAGTAAACACAATTTAACCATAAATACCATGCCCAACAACTAAACAAGTTACTAACTATATTTGTATTACAAAATAATTATAAACTTTTCATTTAACAAGCTATTGTGGTTTGTAAGCGTTTTAATCGAGTTTTATTGTTTTTTGTAGTTTGGTGGATGTGATAATTATGATTCTCTTGCAACTGTAGAGTACTATGATCTTGAAAAGAAACACTGGCAACAACTCGATCCTATGCCGATATGTAATTATAGCATGGGCGTGTCAAGAATAGATAAAGTCCTTTATCTCATTGGTGGTTCTTGTGCACTTCGACGAGTTTTTAAATTCGATTTACAACATTTCAAATGGGAAGAAATGCCTAACATGAACATGGATTGTAATGGATATTGCTCAACAAGTCTGTATATATTTAACCAAGTATATAATACATTTTTTTACTCATAAATATTATTAAATGCAGGTGTTGGTATCATGAAAAACGATTTATTCGTGTTTGTGAATAATCAAGGAAAACTTCATTGTGAAAGATATGACAGAGGAAAAAATCAATGGCAATTGGTTGATAGGGTAGGAGAGTCATTAAACCTAACTAGTCATATCATTACTTTCAATGATATTACTCTTAAATCCTATGGTATTCAATTATGATAATATTTTTTTTTTAAATACCTTTTTGTGAATTCCATTTAGTCTTAAATTTATTTATACATTTTGTTGTTGATTTTTATTTGTATTTGTTAATACTTTGGAAGAACTTCATTGTGAAATATGTTACACAGAGAATACATGGCATCTGGTTGTCTGGGCAGAAGAGACTTCAAACGATTTTGTTATAATATTGTTTTAGTATAATAGTATTCACTTATAATATAACTTTTTAGTAATTAAATCCAATTTGTTGTATCTTAAATACATGCATTATAACTATATACTCGTATTTAAAAGTAATGTTTTTTTATGTGTTTATTGTCTATTTGGAAAATATAAAATAAAGCCAAGAATAAGCTTAAAATAATCAAATTGGTGTAAATCTGTAATGGGAGAATTAATTCTATAATAAGGTTATTAGACAAAATTATAAATAAATGTACAATTTTTATTTGAGGACTTGACGTGATAGATCTATATGGAAAGCTGAAAATGTATCTGTTTACAATAATATGGCTTTTTTTGGAGGGTCGGTTCACTCGAGTAGGAGTTTTATCATTAAGATTTGTTTTTATACTGGTTTAATAGAATGAAATAACCAGTTGCTTATAATATCATATTGATAGTTGTCGCAATAATAATATAAAGCACTAGATTGTGCGCAAAATGCTAACATAACTGTAAGGTACACCTTATTATTATTTTTTACCATCTACCATATCAAAGCAGTTTCTACACAATTGGAGACTTTTAAACTGGTAAATAACTGACAGTAAAAGTTTTTCTCACAATAGCTATAATGTAATACTACTATAACAAATTACATTCACTCGAAAAAGTACGCCATGGCGCAAATATCAAGGTTAAAGTTTTAAAATTATTACCAGCAATGATTTCAAAACCGGTGCTTAACCATAGAATTTGAAGATCGTAAATTTAATAATAGGTATGTAAATGTGTACATAAATATAATAACTAAAAATATATAAAGATAATCAAACAGTATCACCATCAACTATTGCGTTACACATTTATAACTTCAAAAATAATTATGAAATGAATATACAGGGTGATCCAACTAACGTAAGACACTCATTTTCTCGGAAAATATGAATATTTTGAGAATTTTTTTTTTTCTAAACTTTTAGGTACATATTTTACTACATTTTTTAATATTTAGAATTTTTTTATTTTCAACCCTTATACGTTATAAAACTACGAAACTCGTTTTTTCAAATGGAAACATATGTTTTTAATTCCACAAGTATGTAGACAATTTTTTTTAAAAATTGTTAGCGTTTGAATTTTCAATTTTCAACTATCTGTTCGTTTTCTGTGACTTAGTAAAGATTTGAAATTAAAATCAATATTTGTTCGGTTTTTCAGAAGTAGCACTTATATTTGCCAGTAAATAATGATAATATTGGACCCCATCGATAATACTGTCACCGATAATGAGACATAAATAACTCTGGCTCTAATTTTTTTTTATTATTATATGGACAATCGATTCTTAATCTACCTGTTTGGAAACAAATATACCTTACATAACCGTCATCCGTTCACATGTATTATCAGTAGACTGCGATGTGGACGATTTTGCCTTAAACCACTTTTACGGTATGATTATAATATAGCGTTAATATTATTATCACAGTATCATTATACTATGGTATGAGTAAAACTTAAATTGTCAAACGACAAACAACGTGTACTCGTGATTTGTGAACAGTTTTTTTTATATATAAAGAAGAAACTAGTATTGTGTTTTAAAATGTCTAATTGTGGTTAGTGACATACATTTTACAATTTATTTTGAAACTATAATGAATGTAATGATTTCATAAATATAATTAGTTCTCATTAGTAATAGTGAAATTTGTATTTAAGACTTGGAAAACTCAACATAACAACCAAGTTATACAATATACCTACTGATTTATTTAATACTATACGTAATATATTATTATTATATGGCCAATTAACAGTTGTTAATTATAGTTTAACTGGAATAAATGTTGATGACTAACCGCAGGAAAGCTGTAAGTACAATATATTAAATACTAAAATTTTAATTTGTATTTTTTAGCAGGACATTTTTTAAGAAGATTACTGGAAAGATAATGATGTGTTGAAACCTTAATGTACAATTTGTCACTGATTACAATAGTCAGTATTGGTTTATCAAGCTACATATCAATATGTCATTTATGATTATTCAGTTACTAGTTAGGTATGTTTCGAATATCAATATGCACTAGAGTCTAGATGTGCAATATTTTAGTATTGAAAAACTGTATATTGTGAATAATAGATATTACACTATTACTATTAGTAAATTGTTACTTTGTATATTTTCAGTTGTGTCAACGTCTTCATTTTGAAGTCGTCTTTTGTAGATATAACCCAAAAATGTACAAAATAAAAATAATATTGTTTTAGATTAGGCATTTTATAGAAATTAGGAGATATAAGTTAATAATTATTAAATTATTTTTTTCAGATTGGAATCTTAGAAGAATAAAATATTAGCATTTAACACAACCATACTCAACCAGCGGCCCCTGGGCTGCATACAGCCCGCCGATTATTTTTATGTGGCCCAAAAAGAACTCATTATAAATATTTAAAGGCTATAAAAAAAAAAAAATATTAATATAAAATATAAGAAAACAATTATATTTTCAAGATGTGTAACGTTCGAGATTGCAATAAGGATGTTAAATTTTAACATCATAATTATTTGTCTCTAATAATAACTTGTATAAGCATTTTTATTAGTACCATTTAATGTTAAAAATATTAGTTTCTTTTAGTCAAGTCACTCTATAATTATAGTTGACTATTCATTTTTTTAATGTGGCTTAACAAATGAAAAAAGTTAGATTTTATGTTATGTAGTAGCTTTTGTTTTCTAGTTTCTTACATGAATGAAATCATCTTTAAAAAAAAATGTAGCAATATTTTTTTTTATCAATGAAGCAAATGTATTCATATTTGGTTAATATTTTTATTTATGGTAGATCTAATGTCAGATTTTATTTAATTTAAAATTTTGTAATCTAACCCATATTTTGCATTTCTAATGCATAACGGATATTTGATTATGGAGTATAAAATTAATTAAACTTGGTGTTTGACTATCATCCATACATTTTATACCAAATATTTTCTTCAAAATATTAATGATTGACAAATAAATGCGTATAGGTTATAACATGTTAACAATAAATCAAACTTTTTCATTTGATGATTTAATCAAGTCAGTAAATGTACATAAAATAAAATAAAGTAGTTGTATTGATTTGAAAATTCAACTGTTGTTCACTTGTGCTCTTTTAATTATTATTAAACTAATGTAAATATTTTTTTTATCAATATTCATTTTTTTGTAGAATATACTTTTAGTAATAATTACAATTTTAAATAGAATATTTTATTATATACAGGGTGTCCTACAAAGATCTGACAAACGAAATATATTTTATTATTATTATTATTACGCTATAGTGTAATCGGTGTTCGATACTGATAAACCTACTTCCCATAATATGTAAAATATCAAAAATATATTTACAAAATGTTTACTATTACTAGTAGAAATAAGTTTTTGCTTATGAAATCATTATGTTTATTAGTTTTCATCGTACATTGTAGAGCAATATAAAATGTAGTCACAATTAGAGAATATATAAACACAATTGACTCTACTTAAATAGTTAAATGTATTAACAAAAAAAACGGCATAGGAGTATAGGACGTTTCCGGGTTCTGAATACACAATGCAAGTCACGTTGCCGGCAGCCGGTTGCACGCACTTTTTTTGGGCTTGATAATATATCATAATCATACCGTGATAATATGGGTAGGTAAGGTTGGAAAAAATTTCGTCGTAAGTGTTGTCTACTGATAAGATATGTGAACAATTGACCAGACATGTATATGGTATCGCGGTTTCTGACAGTAGGTAAAGAACCGCATCTCCATATATTATAAAAAAAAAAGTAAGGAGTATTACTATTATCTGATTATCGGTTTTATCGACGGACGACGGGGCGAGGTCGATAATATTATTTAATAGTATTTAATATGCTACCTGTTTTGAAATCCCAAAGAAATATGGATCAAAATTTCAAATCTTTACAACGTAATAACTACAAAACCGATTGATGAAAATTAGAAATTCAAACGCTAAAACTTTTTTAAAAATGTTGTCTACAGATTTATGAAATTAAAAACATACGTTCCCATTTAAAAAACCAAATGTGATACTTGTTTTACATATAAGGGTTGAAGATAAAAATATTCTAAATATTGAAAAATGTAGTAAAATATGTACCTAAAAGTTTAGAAAAAAAAAAATTCTCAAAATATTTATATTTTCCGAGAAAATGAGAGTCTTACGTTAGTTGGATCACCCTGTATACTAGGGTGTCCCTTAGTTTGTACTTTTTCGAATAGTTATACTCCCAAGATCGCAAGCTGTTCTAGTGAGTAAAAAAAGGCCATAAAAGCTTCACTGATCCAACTCAATATTTACCCGTACCTTTATGACGGTGAAGTTTCCTATTTAAATACACGCAGAATTATTGAAACTTTTGTTAAATATTTTCGAAAGATAAAAATAAATCTTTAAAATATTGGACACACTGAAGTCGTTTGTGTATGGCACGTACATTCAACAAAAAATGCAATTATTATTTTTTTTAAAACTTGCATGGATGTATTAATGTAAATTTTTGTAATCAAAATGTACATTTTTTCATATTTCACTCTTTTAGTAGATCAAAATAGCAAAAAATGTTTCGTTGTAGCATTACCTAAGGCTTAAGTACTGAAAAGACAGTACTGTGGAACAAGTATATAGAGGCGGTGGAGGTCTCAGGTATATATTGTAATTATTTCTTTTTTTTGGGGGTTTTTCTTAATAACTAAAAGGTTTGACTACAGATTTTTGAGAAAACTGTTTATATAATAGGGTCATACCTAGACCTACCTAGTTATATATTTTTTGGTTAGGTCGGTAGTTTGTAACGGACCCACCCTTATCAGGGCTAATAGATACATATATATATTTATTACATTGTACAACTTATCAGGACTAACATATACATATATCTATATATTATGTTATATAACTTCTCATTATTAAATATTGCTAAATATGAATGTACCACACGTGCCGATTTCACATCAGACCCAAAAGGTCATTACAGCATCTTGCGAAAGCAGACAACTTGCAATTTTGTTCACAGTTGACCTCAAACACGAGGCCAACCACTAAGAGAAACTTAACGTTTTTGGCAACTACCGTGCGAATCTCACATCGAAGCTAGCCAATTTCG